AATGATCACTTGCCTTAGTGCACATCTTGCGTACGGGAGTGTTCTTTGTCAATTTATTTCTCTCTTCATACATGTATGCCTGTGTTTCACCTGACGAGAAAGCTTGAAAGTATAGATGTGAAAGCTCTGGAGATGTTGACAAAGAGCCTGAAGTGTTTTCTTCTACTATAATATTCGCGGGATCCGCGTTAGCATCACTTGAATGTTCAGAAACACACAAGCTGTAGCCTTCGCTTCCGCAGGCCACCACTATACCTTTTCACCTTAGTGGCAGATGCAGACCTTACAAGTGTTTTCTTCTGCTTAGTATTATTGCATTCTTGTCTCCATGGAAACTGTCAAACTGTTCACATAAGTGTCTGTGTCAAATTCAAGCCCTCGCCATTGCTCGTATGCCGTTCTTGTTGTCATTTGGCCCTGTGTCGTTGCCGCCTCTTCTGCTCGTGGTTGGTGATGGTGCTGCTGCTGCTAGAGCCACCACTGCTGCTAGTGGTGCTGCTGCTGTTGCTAGAGCCACCACTGCTGCTAGTGGTGGTGCTGCTGCTAGAGCCACCACTGCTGCTAGTGGTGGTGCTGCTGTTGCTAGAGCCACCACTGCTGCTAGTGGTGCTGCTGCTGCTAGAGCCACCACTGCTGCTAGTGGTGCTGCTGCTAGAGCCACCACTGCTGCTAGTGGTGCTGCTGCTACTGCTAGAGCCACCACTGCTGCTAGTGGTGCTGCTGCTAGTGGTGCTGCTGCTACTGCTAGAGCCACCACTGCTGCTGCTGGTGGTGATGCTGCTAGAGCCACCACTGCTGCTGCTGGTGGTGATGCTTGCGTTCTCCCCACGGCTTCTAGTGTAAAACTGGGTCTTCCTTTTGTTTGTTTGGTTGCGTGTGCTGGCGTGGGTTCGTGTGAACCGTGTACGTGTGTGTGTGTGTGTGTGCGCGCGCGCGTGTGTGTGTGTGGGTGGATGTGTTATGCGCGTAGAAACAAGCTTGGCCCGTTCTGATGAGCGGTTTCGACATGATCGGTATTGCCCAGGTTAGTGAAAGTGCCCACTCTCCCCACCCCTTGATCGGCCTTGGCGGATAATGCCGGCAGAAAAATTGGCAGAATTCGGTACTTTTTCTGGTAGGTTTCATGCATGTTTGGTATGTGGATAAAGAAATGGAGCAGAATTCGAGGAATTGCCAGCCATAAGGTTTGTATGGTTCTGCCAATTTCACTGCTTTTCGAGCAGTATCCGCCACCTTTTCCAGCATTATCCGCCAAGGGCTACCCCTTGATGAGCACAACTTGTCACACTGCTAATAGTCACAGGTGGTAATGCTAGAGAGGATGGTGATGGATTCCAAGATGAAATGCCCGTGCGAGATGGGGGAGGTGGCGGAGGACGAGAACGACGAGCACGGAGAGGATAAGACGGAGGAGAACGAGAAGGAGGAAAACAAGGTGGCAAAGGGATCAACATGGCAGCGGCAAGTTGCTCATTTGCGGATAGCGACATGTCGGAATTGTGTGTACGAGCGTATATGGGACTTGGGGTGCGAGTGCGTGCATACATGAAATTGTGAACCTAACAGGATTGAACGTAACATGTGTGTGCATGTATGCATGTGTGGTTTGTTTTCTTTGTGTAGACTGGAACTGGCAAGACATTGGCCTTCCTTCTACCTGGCATGATCCACCTTGATCGACAGCCTTGGTGAGTTCTGCCATCTGCTGCGACAGTGTAGTGCCATCTGGCTGCAGTGCCATCTGGCTGGTGTAACGTTGTGTAATGTGATCTTGTGTAGCATGGTGTGATGTGGCACGATCTGGTGTGGCATGGTGTGGCATGGTGTGGTGTAATGTGATCTGGTGTGGCATGGTGTGGTCTGGTGTGGCATGATATGGTGTGGTGTGGCATGACACGGTGTGATCTGGTGTGTTCTGGTGCGGTGTGGTGTGGTGCGATCTGGTGTGTTCTGGTGTGATCTGGTGTGGCATGACGTGGTGTGGTGTAATGTGATCTTGTGTTGCATGATTTTATTTTTTTGATACAACATCTCCTGGCTCGCCGTAAGTCTGCCAATAGGTGAGAATGAAATGAAGGGTAGCAACCAACCACGGCTAACTAAAAGCTGCGTTTAGAATGAGAGGTGGTACGTTGTGGTGTGGTGCGATCTTGTGTGGTGTGATATGCTGTGGTCCAGTGCGATCAGGTGTGATGTGATGTTATGTGAAGTACACCTGATCTTATTGTCATTGTGGCTTTCCAGCAGCCGTTCCTCTAACCAGCCTTCTCTCTCTCTCTCTCTCTCTCTCTCTCTCTCTCTCTCTCTCTCTCTCTCTCTCTCTCTCTCTCTCTCTCTCTATCTATCTATCTATCTATCTCTCGTCTCTATCTCTATCTCTCGTCTCTATCTCTCTCTCTCGTCTCTATCTCTCTCTCTGTCTCTCTCTCTCTCTCTCTCTCTCTCTCTCTCTCCAGTTCTCGTCGTGACCGCAAAGGACCGTCCATGCTGGTGCTATCACCAACTCGTGAGCTGGCACTTCAGATTGAGGCTGAAGTCAAGAAATACGACTACCACCACATCAGATGGTGAGTGGGACAGCAGCTGCCACTGCAGCAGTGAATATGTATTCCCAACACACACACACACACACACACACACACACACACACACACACACACACACACACACACACACACACACACACACACACACACACACACACACACACACACACACACACATACACACACCTTGATCTTGCCCATTGCGTACGCAATGATAGCGAATGTCGGAAAGTTCAAGTGAGAACACGAGCGCAGAACTTGGCATGTCGTTTCAGGTCTCCTGGTCGACGAAATGGGCGTCCACAGACACATAGAAGAGGATCAGGAGCGGGCCGTGGCGGTGGGGTGCTACTCGCAACTCGTCTCCAGCCGGGACGATCTTGGCAACTCTCAAGCCAGGTGGTCACGCCGAGGTCCGCCAGGTCAGTCAACACCACATCTCGCCACCTCTTCTTCGGGCCGTGACGAGGACGGGGGGCAGGCAGCTCGCCGAACAGCAATTGCTTCGGTGCGCGTGAGTCGTCCATCCTGCCGACGTGACCCAGCCAACGAAGACGGTGGCGACGGATGATGCGGGTGATATCAGGGTCAACACCGAATGTAGCTGCTAATGTGGCCGTTGAGATCCGATCATCCCACTGTGGACGACGACCGATACCCACAATGGACCGAACACACTGATGGTGAAACGTGTTTAGCTTCTGGAGGTGGCCTGCCTTGGTGGTCTACGTCTCCGCACCATACAAGAGGGTCGTGAGGACGACAGCCTCATAGACACGCCTCTTGCTGCGAAGCGACATGGTCTGGTTATCAAAGACAGGAGCTCACTACACACACACACACACACACACACACACACACACACACACACACACACACACACACACACACACACACACACACACATACATACATACATACACACACACACACACACACAGGGCTGTTGCCAGGGGCGTAGCTGGTCCCCCTTTTAGGGGGGGGGGGGGGGGGGTGCACAGCCGCATATGTGTAGGACAGCTGGTGCATGTCATTCATGGTCATTATGTGCATGCTGAATAGTATTTAAAGAGAAAGAAACAATAAGTTACGAGTTCTGACTAACAGTCCACCAACGTACTGTATATCACCTTATTTTCGGTGTTGTAAAATTTCGGTAAAAGCCAACCCCTGACCTTTCGGTGTAAGGATAAATTCAGTATGCATGGCACCAAAAAAAAAAAAAAAAAACGCTCTTGCACTAATATCTCCGCCAAGGCCAAAAGGCTCCACATAATACCGGTACATGTTATGTATGTACAATGTACTACCGGTATACCAGTACATATACAAGTTGATTTTTTTTAATTTGACACTGATTTTCATGATTTTTACATATTTTTGGTATTTCGGAAAATTTAGGTGTAATGTTAAATTAGGTGATCCAGGACCAGTACCGAAGTTACCGAAATTTAAATTACACCGAAATAAAGGTGTTATACAGTAACAAGATATTATAGTCGGTGGTTCTTTAGTATGACAATAATAACGAGATATTACACAGTCAGATAGTGCGACAACAAGACATAAAACTGACAAGGATATTGAGACATTCAATGACCTGACACCTAGCTCCAACACATCTACGGAACGTGACTTTTCTTGTGACACACACGCAGGGCTGTTGCCAGGGGCGTAGCTGGTCCCCCTTTTAGGGGGGGGGGGGGGGGGGGGTGCACGGCCGCATATGTGTAGGACAGCTGGTGCATGTCATTCATGGTCATTATGTGCATGCTGAATAGTATTTAAAGAGAAAGAAACAATAAGTTACGAGTTCTGACTAACAGTCCACCAACGTAACAAGATATTATAGTCGGTGGTTCTTTAGTATGACAATAATAGCAAGATATTACACAGTCAGATAGTGCGAAAACAAGACATAAAACTGGCAAGGATATTGAGACATTCAATGACCTGACACCTAGCTCCAACACATCTATGGAGCGTGACTTTTCTTGTTTTTGCTTCCTGTTCCAGCTGTTGCATCTATGGTGGTGCTGATCGCCGTGCACAGGTGGAAACCGTCAAAGCTGGCGTGGAGATTGTCGTGGCAACGCCGGGACGTCTGTGCGACTTGCAGATGAACAATCTCCTGTCGCTGGAAAGTGTCACCTACCTGGTACGACTATATGTGCATGTCTGTGTGTGTGTCTGTGTGTTGGGGGGTGTCACAATGTAGGTCGGGATACACAAACAGAAGGTGCCTTCTGTTTGTGCTTGTGTGTGTGTGTGTGCACGTGTGTGTGTGTGTGTGCGCGCGCGCGTGTGTGTTTGTGCTTGTGTGTGTGTGTGTGGGGGGGGGGGGGGGGTGCATGCGGGCGGGCGTGTGTGCTTGAGTATTCCAGTGGCAAATTGAGCCCTCTACAGGCCATGGATGTAGTTGGGATATTTTGGCCACACAGATACTTCTCTATGCGCGGGCACAGATACTGACAAAATCCATGGATGGGTGGGTGAGGAGTGTACTGCGTAATACCAAGATCCGTTTTTCAGATCAGAGAAGTAGGTGTCCGCCGTAGGGCAGGTCGATAGCCCATTGCATTATTTTTGAATCTCTCTCCCGTTTTCCGAGGAGACCCGCGTGACCAGTTTTGGCAGTGAGCCAGTGCAAGTACAAGTATGTGTGTGTGTGCGTGTGCGTGCGTGTGTGCATGCAGGTCTTGGACGAAGCTGACCGCATGTTGGATATGGGCTTTGAGCATGACATTCGCAAGATCATGCTGGATATCCGTCCGGACAGACAGACAGTAATGACAAGGTAAGAACAGGAAAAAGAACACTTCGTAGGCGTTCGTTTTTGATCTACAGGTTTTGGTAGAAACTACTTCTTTCGGTAGGTGGAAATGCTTTACTGAGTCATTGCCTCTGCCTTCTAGTCAGGTTACAAACCTTTTTGTAGCTAGAACTCATGTTTGGATTTTCTTTAGGAACTTTTCTTCCTACTTTCGGTGAGGGCATCCCTTCATGAATGATCGGATTGGGCTTGGGCAATGGCGTCACAAGAAGGACGTCATTGTAACTTGTTATATGATTGTAACATGCTTGGCTTTTTGTATGTTGTGTGGATAGCTGAGTCTGATTCTTTGTGTACCTGCTTTGGTGTGGCGTTGTCTGTTTGTGTGTGCGTGTATGTTCTTGTGTGTGTGTGTGTGTGTGTGTGTGTGTGTGTGTGTGTGTGTGTGTTTGTGTGTGTGTTCTTGTGTGCGTATGTGTGTATGTGTGTTGTTTGGTTACACGACAGTGCAACTTGGCCCCCGGACGTACGTCGTCTGAGTGACAAGTATATGAAGGAACCCATACTTGTGCATGTCGGCTCCTTGGATTTGAGGGTAAGGTCTTCTTGCACTCATCACTTCTTACCACTTTAGGGCGCGTTCGAATTGTCCCTCTTTCACTTTTCGAAGAGTTTCGTTTTTCTGAAGAGGTGGCCTTGTTGGCCTCTTCAGAAAATACGAAACTCCTCGAAACTCCATAACCTCATCCGATGGGAGATGTGGATTAGTTCCAAAGAGTTTGGAATAGCTACGTCGAGATGGTCGATCTGATCGGGCGTTATTATTGCCATGACAATTCCACTGAAAACTCTAAAATGATAGAAACCGTTCTAATGGGACACGTCAACTATTTAAATCTCTTTAAAAAATATGTTCGAACAGTCGATGAAGACAATGCGAACGCTCCCTTAGTCGGACCTATTTCGTTGTCAACGTGTTTTGCCGCATTAGGCTGGTGTTGTTGTTCTTTTAGAGCTAAATCTCAGAATGCTTACAGTATTGCTGCCCTGTTGTATTGTGCGAAACCTCCCTGTGGTTTCTTGTCTCGGCGAAAACCTGGTATCACGTTCTACAACTATACGAAGTAGAGATAGCGACTCCGGCGATAGTACACACATTGAAAATCAGGCTTCTATTCAAAACCTTCACTAGTTTGAGGGAAAGAGACAAACGGGAAAAGTCCGAAGAAAAAATTGACTGTCACCACCAGGACTCGAACCTGGGACCCTCGCTTGTAGCTAGCGATGCTCTAACCACTGAGCTATGGTGTAGTCGTCACCCCAGCATAGACTGTTCAACATTTTCTTCAGACTTCGTAACTCACACTTCCTGTGAATCCACACAGGCGGGTGGGACGCAGCCCTCACTGTACCCACACACTTCACGTACACTCTAGCACGCGGGGAGCCCCAAGTCATAAAATCTTCACTAGTTTGAGGGAAAGAGACAAATGGGAAAAGTCTGAAGAAAAAATTGACTGACTATTCAAAACAGTCTTCTATATGAGACAAGCTTTAATACAAGACACTACGGTATCTAGTTATTGTGGTGGACAGTTACTCTTAACTCGTATCCATGTGTTCCTTTCCTTTTCTTTCTTGTCTTTGTTGTGTGCATCATGTGGTGTAGGCATGCAAGCTGGTCACTCAGGCCGTGGAGGTTCTAGATGAACAGACTAAGTATAAACGGGTACGCCGACCGTGCGTTCTTGCATGCGTCTCAGTACAGTCAGACCTCGCTTATCCGGTCCGCGTTTATCCGGATCCCTCGCCATCCGGTAGAAAATCGCTGGTCACCGATTTACAGCATGTGCCATGCACACATACAGTATGTGTGTTCGATTGTCCGGTTCCCTCGCCTATCCGGATATTTTGCGGAAAACGGATGTGTGCGGTTAAGCGATGTCTGACTGTACTGCCTCTCTAGCTTTCCCTGTGATTGCGTGCTGCGTTTTTGTCAGCGTTCTATCTTCCTATAGGGCGTGTCCGGAGCACGCGCTGTGTTGTGTGTGTGGTGCGTGTGCTGTGCATATAAGCACCAGTACCACTCAAGTTGGGGACGGAATGGCTGCATCGCAATCACCCCACCTTCCCTGGCTGAGGTCTATGGTCGTATTCCTGTGCTGACCAAGCTATGCCATACATACTCCATGAAAGGATGTGCTTGCAAGTGTTGCAATATTCCATACGCTTTCTTTGGCCAGTGCTGAGGATCAACCATGTAGTTATTTTGCAGATACAGCATCCACAGTGTCGCACGGGTACTCGTGATTGGTCCTGAATTCGTGTTACGCAGCATAGTGCAGAGATTTCTTATCCACTTCACTCCGCCCTGATCACAGGTCATCAAGACTCATCATAGAGACAGGATCCTCTGCAGGGGCGTCGGAAGTTAATTTTGTGTGGTACGGTCAGCCAGCTGAAGTACAATTTAACTCGTGGGGGAGGGGTGGCTCAGCCGAAAATTTTGGAATTTAGAACCCAACTCAGTGCATTTTATTGATTCACGGGGTACTTGGGGCAAAGAGTGGTACGGTCAATGCCGTAGTGACCGTAGCGTGTGCGACGCCCCTGCTCTGGCGTTAGACTACTCTGAACGGTGGCGTGATTTTGCTTCTCTGAAGTTTTATTGCTGTTGTGCTGGTGTTTGCTGTCGTTGTTGCCGTTGTGATTTTCCTTGTGCAGCTTCGGCACTTCTTGGAAACGGAGCTGGGCGAGGATGGACACGTCCTCATCTTCTGTGGCCGCAAGAACACGTAAGTGACATGACCACCAGTGCACCGTGGCCGAGTACCGCACTGTTGTCGGGGACGACTCAGCAGTTTAGTATTAGTACTAGACTGTTGTCAGGGACAACACAACAGTTTAGTTTTAGTACCAGACACTGTTGTCAGGGACAACACAGCAGTTTAGTATTAGTACCAGACTGTTGTCAGGGACAACACAGCAGTTTAGTGCTGTGCCTTCGAGTTTGCCATTGGATGCTATCCTCGCACAACAGAACAACTAGCCTTTTTCATGCACACATTGTTCTCCGTAGTACAGTTCTGGCCAGAGAAATCCAACCTCATGAATATTCTAGCGCCGGGGGGGGGGGGGGGGGGGAATCGCTACGTGACCCTACAGTCCATTCAGAAAAAGATGATATCCTAGCTTTTGGCCATAAATGGGTCAAAATTTGAGTTTTTGTCACAATATTTTTGTCAATCCCCCGTGGAATACTCTTCCAATTGTGTTTTTGAAGTCTATTTATCCAAAGAGCAAGCCATAACAAGAATAGGATTTCGGCCAGGTTTTGCCCCCAAAGCACTGAATTGGGGAAAAGCCATGAAAATCCAACCCCCGCACTCCACTTGCAGAACAGTACATTTGCGGTTCAAACCCCAGTTGAGGTGCCTTTTTGGACCCTTTTTCAAGTTTCGAATCTCGCGGCACTGGCAAAATCACCAAACACGGGAGCTCTCCAGAGCCAGCGCTCATCTTTTTCTGAATGGACTGTAGCAGAACACACAACACTGTGCGCACTTGAGCGCAGCGGCGCCACTTTATTCATGAGGTCAGGTTTCTCTGGCCAGGATTGTACTTACAACTATGGTGACTGTAAGGTGTGGAACAACTGGGGGGGGGGGTGTCAGCCTCCTAGACTACAGTCCATTCATTGGAAACTGGCACCCTAACTTTTTGGTGTCTCTCTCTGTCATTATAGTTGTAGATAGCGTGAAAACAACAGTACATCCTGCATTGTGTGACCCGTGCAATTACTCCTTGCCACATTTGAGGCCAGAAAAGTCCAAGAACAGGGAAATAGAAATTCAGCCAGGTTTTACAAAATTAGGACAGGTATGCCATGGCAAAATGTATGGAGAAGCAGATCCAAAACCCAGATTTTTGAGATTTATAGTGGGTTTTTGATCCTCAATTCGGCCCAAATCCGACTTTCAAAAGCCAGCGGGCCAGTTTCCGATGAATGGACTGTAGACCGTTACTTTTCTCATGTATTACAGTCTATGCACAGTTGAGTCACCGTGTATACATTGGTATGCTGTGCTTGGTGAACCCCAGCCTTCCCCTTCTTCGGCATCCGACAGTGCTGTTCCTGATTCTCGTAAACAGTTGTGACTGGCGATGTCCTGGCGGTTGTTCTGAACAATTTCATCGGAGACAAGAATGCAAAAACACTGTGAAAGAGGACACACACGTCAGGCTCTTCAACATTTTCTTGAGAATTTTCCCTGGTGTACTGTTCTGGGATTGGAATACCGTATTTCCCTGATTATAAGTCGCACTCGATTATGAGTCGCACCCCCATTTTCAGGTTTGAGCAATATCGTTTTGATATATTGACTTCAGTAGTAAGTCATGCTCGATTGTAAGTCGCACCCCCTTTTTTACCCTGAATTTTAGTGTAACAAGTTGAGACTTATAATCGGGGAAATACGGTAGTATTTTAGGGAGCTGTCGTTTCCTCGTGATCTGCACTACAGCTAATGCTGTGTGGGTGTTTCTTGTGTGCTTTCGTGTGAAGTGCTGATCACGTTGGGTCTGAGCTAGTCATCGACGGAATTGACTGCAACGCTCTCCATGGCGATCGGTGAGTACTCTAATACTATGTTGAATATTCTGTGTGTGATGCCGGTCTGTGATTACCGTCTGTCTGAAATAACACGCATCAAACATGACTTTGCTAGTGTATTGAGGTGTCCAAGACCCTAAGCGTAACTTGTGCTGTTCTTGCTTTGTAGCACCGGACCGAAATATTGATGACCAATAACTGAGCATCGGTACTGTCTACTGTGCGTGTGTGTGTGCACGCGTGTGTGCGCGCGTGTGTGTGTGTGTGTTTATATGTGTGTGTATATGTGTGTGTGCGTGTGTTTATGTGTGTGTGCGTGTGTTTATGTGTGTGTGTATGTGTGTGTGTGTGTTTGTGTGTTGGTGTCTTTGCCGCTATCTGCAGCGACCAGTATGACAGAGAGCAGGCTTTGGAAGACATCAAGACAGGTCGCGTGCGCGTTCTTGTTGCAACGGACGTCGCATCCAGAGGTCTGGATATTCCCGGAATCACGTAAGAATACGCCAGCGTTGAAACACCGGCCATCTTTTTGACATTCTTTATATTGAAATGTTCATCCTGACCTAGAATGGATTTGTAGATCTCTTCTACATGTGTGTGGCCATAACTAGCCACCACCACCACGTGCAAGAGTCCATAAACAAGAGTATGCAACTGTGACCTCTCTTTCCCTCTGGTTTAAAATGAACTTTCATCTGGAACTGGAGTTCTTGCGCCAAAATTAGAGATCGCGTAGGTACTGGAAAGAATCGAGCAGAAACGGATGGGCTCGTACGAGAAATTGTGGGTTTGCATGCCTGCTTTCAGAGCGTGATGAAGGCAAGTTACGTAATGAAGGCAGTACGCAACGCACTAACCCATAACCACAGTTGCATACTCTTGTTTATGCACTCTTGCCACGTGTCATAGACATCGTTCTGTCCTGATATGAATGGGTCGGGTGTGTGATGTCATCATTGCATCACCATTACGTCATCTATGTACGTAACCTCGCGAGATTCGCGAATACTTGACCAATCGCCTCATCGAAAGGTTGTAGCGTGTAAAATGCACTTCAGCTGGGGATTTCCCCATTTTCGCACGTGCCTACCCGGCCAGGTGCTATGACGCAATCAGGCTACGGGCAATCGGGCATCCCGACTTCTTTCCAAAAATCCCATCGCTCTGCGATAAAATCTGAGGGAATTGCATCGCGATGAGTATTTCGCTCGCAATTGACATGACACTGGCTTGTACGCTTGCTTCGCTCCCTGTACATTTACGTTGCCGCTCTTCATATCTACTGGAGATGTATTCCTTATGGATAGAGCTTTCCAGGAAGCCCAGGATTGTGAGAATCGACCTAGAAATGATGGAGTTATTCAACTTATTGTCAGAGAAATATGAGCAAGAACGGCGATTTCGCGTTTTCTTAAAAATAGTTCTAGGGCTTTTAAAAAGGGTTATTGGGGAAACATGTTTATGTGCATGTGCTTACTCGGAGGTTTTCATAACGTTCACAGCATAGCATTGTGCTGTCTGGAGTCCACCTACTGCTGTGATTTGTGTACATACCGTATTTCCCCGAATTTAAGTCGCACCTTTTTACACTAAAACTCAAGGGTAAAAAAGGGGTGCGAATTACAATCGAGCATGACTTACTACTGAAGTAAATACATCAAAAACAATATTGCTCAAACCTGAATATGGGGGTGCGACTTATAATCACGGAAATACGGTAATGCGATGAAATATTAGTTTTGATTGGTTGCTGATCTTTAGTTTCCTCTCTGTCGCTGCCGCTCCCGCTGTTGCTTTTGTTCTTGTAGTCACGTTGTGAATTACGACTTTCCACACAACATGGAAGACTACGTGCATCGCGTTGGACGCACAGGCAGAGCTGGGTGAGTGCACGCTAGCTGTTCGGTGCCACGTGAACTTTATCGTCGTCATGTCATGTTCGTATGCAGGGGCGGCGGACGTTCGTATGCAGGGGCGGCGGACATGCTACAGTCACTGCAGTATTGACCCTACCCAAGAGTACATAACCCCCAAGGTTTGCGACGGCAGAACTTCACATCACGTGATCAACCCGTACACATTATTTGCACTCTGTGCATGATAGATACAGGGTTGTACGCAGCCCAGCTTTGGGTACACCTCTCTTGTGGTCACTTTGCACTGTTTGCCAGTGTAACCTTTTGAACCATGTCACGTGATGTGAAGTTCTGCCGCCGCAGCACTGCATAGAGGTTGTGCAGGCAGTTGCACACTCTTGGGGGTTATGTAATCTTGCCGTACCACTGTTTGTCCTGGACTACACCACTGTCTGGCACCGAAGAACTGGGGGGTCAGGGTTCTAGCCTAGCCCGTTCTTATTTTTAGCGAACTCGGCAGTTTTATTCTTATTCGATGCTACAGTCTTTAATACATGTACATTTATGCAGAGTTATACGTCTGAGTGTACATTATAGTATAGATTTAATACGGTTTCTGTTTTTTCTGCGAAAATCCAGCCTAGACCGTTCTTCAAAATTGGTGAAATTCTAGCCTGGCCGTTCTTCAAAATAGGGGGAAATTCTAGCCTGGCCGTTCTTCAAAATAGGGGGAAATTCTAGCCTGGCCGTTCTTCAAAATAGGGGGAAATTCTAGCCTGGCCGTTCTTCAAAATAGGGGGAAATTCTAGCCTGGCCGTTCTTCAAAATTGGTGAAATTCTAGCCTGGCCGTTCTTCAAAATTGGTGAAATTCTAGCCTGGCCGTTCTTCAAAATTGGTGAAATTCTAGCCTGGCCGTTCTTCAAAATTTGGTGAAATTCTAGCCTGGCCGTTCTTCAAAATTGGTGAAATTCTAGCCTGGCCGTTCTTCGGCGCCCGACAGTGCTGTAGGTGATCTACCCTGTGAATCAACAAAACACACTGGTTTGGCTCGAAATTTCCAGAGAAGCCACCCCAACTCCACACGTTTTTGTTTGTACTGCATGTATCTTGACTGTATCACCCTAAAATACCTTGCGACTCCCCTGCGCCACATGTCTTGCCTTCTGGTGTGCACTCGCCGTGTGCTCGGGCTTGCTTTGAAGTTTGAACATCATCGGAACTTTCCATCAATCTTCATTACTGTAAAACATGGTATTTTCGGTGTAACTTTAATTTCGGTGATTTCGGCAGAGAAACCAGGCACCTAAATTTAAATTACCGTATTTTCCGGGGTATAAGCCGCACCGGGGTATAAGCCGCACCCCCCCTTTTTGAGGCAAAATATTGACTAAAAGTTGGTATTCGGAGTATAAGCCGCACCCACAAACCAAGATTATTCACACTCATTGAATGGCTTGTTGAGGCACACATCAAGTGGCTGAAGCTGGGATGTCAGACCACCAGGGATAACAGCAAGGTCGGTCCTTGTTTCACGAGCACGTCTTTTGAAGTTCTCTACTAGATGTGCACGAAACGAGTCAAAGACAAGGCAGCTTCGAACAGGGGTGCTCCCATGGCCACCTTGCCTTGCACACCAAACCTTATCCAGCCACATATGCATTCCAGCTTCATCCATCCAGCCTTTGGGGTGAACGTGGACAATGACATCAGAGTAGTAGTCAACGAGCGGGTTCTGGCGCAGGGGGCGCCCGAGTCCCAAAAAATGGGGTATTATTGAAAAATGGGGTACTAATAGTACCCCATTTTTGCGGTTTAAATTATTTTTGGCCCGGGTTTTTTGCGGATAAAAATATGTGCCAGGGGTGTCCCTACCTCAAAAAAAGGGGTATTATTGAAAATATGTATTGGGGTGTTATGCTCTACCCTAAACAATAAGGTAATATGGTGTCATGATTTGGAATTCCGCATGTATCATTAATTTTGATTTTTAGGGGTGGGTGTTATGTCCTGCCCTACATCATAATATTGCATTCCGATGTCTAAAATATTACTATTTCTAATGTCAATGTTATCTCACTTTTTCCAATTTTATATTAATCAGAACTCATAGTTTTGCAGTATTTTGACTTGTAATTTCAATTTTTCGGATCATTTTCCGGCTGAGACATGACGATAATAAGATAACAGCTTGCTCTCTACGAGCAAAGAGATACAACGAAAAGAGAGAGAGAGAGAGAGAGAGAGAGAGAGAGAGAGAGAGAGAGAGAGAGAGAGAGAGAGAGAGAGAGAGAGTCTAGTAATCAAAGATATCTACAGAAGGTACTACCCAGGAGCGCTTCCTGGAAACTTCGATGACAGGAGATGTGTCCGAAGCCTGAATCGTGACAATTGATTCATCCAGGTCATCATCGGCCTTGCGCTTCCGGCTTGCTATAGTATCGCACAAGACATCCGGCATCTTCTTATGATAACCTTCATCATCAATGTCGATCGTGCCGACACGCACAACAACACGGGTTATCCTCGTCGCCATGACTGAGAGGCGGACAGATTTCGTCGTCGCTTCCGTATCCCCGTCTCTTCGAAAGATCATACGCTCATTCAGATCCTTGATCACACGGATGAACTCCTGGGCTTCGATCTGGTCAGCATTTTCAAATGTCTCTTCGACATTGTCGAGAGCACCTGCAGCCTTCATCACATTGAATACAATGTGATGAAGGCCCCCTGCGCCAGAACCCGCTCGTTGACTACTACTCATCAGGCGGCACTGCATCCTTTGGCATAGTCTTTCGTTTGAAAATGACAAATGGCCGTAACTTTGTCCCATCGGCAAGGCATGCTAAAGGCACAGTAAAGTGCTCTCGTTCGTGCCCTGTCATTTTGATGTGAATAGTCTTCGCTCCGATTTTGTCGATAGTGCGGGACAAGGGCATGTCGAAGTTCAGAGGCGTTCCATCCATATTGCCAATCTGATCTAGCGGATACTTGTTCTGTTCTCTCAACCTGATGACGTTGCGCTGAAAGGACAGAATCTTCTCCTCAAACTCGTCCGGCAGTCGCTGGCACAGGTGAGTCTTCGCCCGGATAACAAGGCTTTGTCGCTTCATGAAACGATAGCACCAACTAACAGTTGCGTTGAAACTTACGGCGTTCATCTCCTTTGCGAAGACTTTCGCTTTTAGGCGAATCCTTGTGCCACTCAATCCAATCCCATCTGGTCGATTTTCTCAATCCATTCGAAAACCTTACGCTCAAGTTCATTCCGTCGTGGCTCGGGTCCAGCATGTAGCGATTTGGACGCGACTTTCTTCTTCGACAGCTAGACTTTCTGTTTCTGCCACCTACGAACCATCGACTCATCGATGTCGAAGTGTCTCGCGCAGGCCCGATTTCCATGCGCTTCGGCGAAGAGCACAGCGCGTATCTTCTCCTTTACGGTGTATGTTGTCCGCCGCGGCATGGTCAACTCCAGGACACCATCGAAGTACCGGCAAGAATAGCTAAAGAAACGAAATAATCTGAACGACTGAAAGACGAATTGAAATGTTTGGAAACAAACATTTGTTCCATTACAGCTATGTACCAGGCCAGGGAGTACCCTGTTCACAACAGGGAAAGATTCCAGCCGACCCTATTTATACACAAAAAGTAGTATTATCGTATCGCTGTATACTAGGATGTGTGGAAACCGGCACTTGCAGTACACAAAATAGTCCCCGTATACGCGTACCGTATGGTGTAGCCCGCGCACTAAAACTAGTAAAAGTGCCGGGATAGCAACACAGGCGCGAAGCTGAGTCGAATGATAAGTCACATGACGTCAGCATGCATACTGATGTATGCTAAGCATTCATCCGCGCAAGCATATTCGGTGTATAAGCCGCAGGGGCGATTTTGGTCCGATTTTTAGCGGGAAAAAAGTGCGGCTTATACCCCGGAAAATACGGTACACCTAAAAGACACAAGCGTATGCACTGTATGTGAAGGGAAAGCTGGTCACCTAATTCTAAATTACACCTGAAACCTGGCAGGTCCCTGGCACCGAAATGTTAATGCACCTAGAATTTCATGTTTTACAGTATGTCCGAAGCCCAGACTCCTACACTACCTGCCTATCGGCTATCACTTGTCCAGACTCCTACACTACCTGCCTATCTGCTATCACTTGTCCAGACTCTACACTACCTGCCTATCTGCTATCACTTGTCGTTGTGATTGCACTCTAAGTCTCTTGTTTGTTGTTTGTTGTTGTTGTGTCACGTGGAACCCCTGCAGTCGCACTGGCATATCACTGACGTTTATGACACGCGAGAACTGGCGCCAGGCGAGTGATCTTATCGTAATACTGGAAGAAGCCGGACAGGTAGGGATATTGTGTGTGGATTGTGCGTGTGTGTGCGTGTGTGTGTGTGGGTGTGTGTGTGTGTGTGTATCTGTGCGTCTGTACGGGAGGGGGGGGGGGGTACTGGTGTATGCACCCTGGTGGTGTATGCGAGCTCCGTACGAGAACATTCTAAATTTAACTTTAGTACGCCATGGTTCTCACACAGCATAGACGTCTTTTATGTTTGTACAGCTAGCTCAATTGCTATCTCTCTGTCTGTCTTTCTTTCTTTCTCTCTCTCTATCTCTCTATCTCTATCTCTCTCTCTCTCTCTCTCTCTCTCTCTCTCTCTCTCTCTCTCTCTCTCTCTCTCTCTCTCAGGTGGTACCGGAGGAGGTCGTGGAGATGGCTCAGCGATTCGAAGAGTACAAGGCTCGCACCGGTGATGACGGCAAGAGACCTCGTCGCGGAGGACGCGGTGGTGGAGGAGGACGCGGTGGTGGAGGGGGCCGTGGTGGAGGAGGACGCGGTGGCGGCGGTAATGGTGGAGGTCGTAGCTATGGCGATCGCAATGGTAGTGGAGGCTATCGTGGCGGTGGAGGAGGCCGTGGTGGAGGCCGTTTTGATGAGGGCGGTTTCAGCTTTGCCTGAAACAACGAACAACATAATATGGAAGCATTGTTTTCATTCGGTGTTCCGAGTCGTCAAGCCGGGTTGCTCCCGAGATTCCTATCGTGATGACGCTTCTCTGCACCCGACACTGCCAACGAAGAGAAGATCTGCCCTTCTGTGTTAGAGCAGTGTGTGTGTGTCTGTACATGTCGTGTCTTGCCGCGTTGAGCCGTGTGTGCCGCATGCTCTCGTGTGCCTTGTTTTCAACTGAGTTCTCTACCCGTGTACATACTGCTGCAATCAAGTACTCTCTTCTGCTGGTCTTGGACTGACCATGCCGTTTTGCAAGCTGCTGTAAATATTGTATTATATAATTGTGTGTGTGTGTGCACTTAGGTTGTCACTGATAGCGGTGACACGGTGCCTGCGTGATGGCAATGGTCATGATTATCTATCCCGCCGTGACCTGTGTAGTCCAATGCGATGTGTGCTAACTTAGCACGTTGTGTACGTATCCAATGTCTTTGTGCCGTTGCCTGTGTGGCAGTTCCAAGTTGTCATTGAGTTCTTGACGGCAAACGCCCTTGTTCCAATCTTGCTTGCCTTTCTTTTGTTTACTGCTCCGCTCCTCCTTCTCATGACCGACATATTATCTCCTGCTCTCATTGATTATTCCATTCCCTGTTTTGACTGAAAGCAGACGTTTTCAGTCCGGTGATTCTCTCGTGTTGAGTTTTTAGCCAATGGCCCTGTTTCTTGCTCTAGCGCTCACGGGCTCAATGCAGTTCTTTCTTAGGCGGCCTTTCGCAGCTTTCAATGGTTTATTCCTTGCGCTTCAGACCATGATTCGTAATTCAGAGCAGGGTTTGGCCTCCTGTACTGTGCTGCGCTCCACTTGCAGTGTCGTTTTGACTGTGTGTGTGTGTGTCGGTGGGGGTTGAAGCTGCAGCTGACGAGCGTCGGCTGAGTACGAGCGCGGATGTACGTGGCCACTTTCAATGCCTTGGACACTAGCACCGCCTCGATCGCATTCTGAACGGTGTCCTGAACGGAAGCAGCTTAAGACGACAGGTATGTCGTGTCGGCGCCGGTTGCTAGGGAAGTAGATGTCGATAGGCTTTCGAAATAATTAATTGGCTGTCGTCAGGGTTACTACAATGACACGACCGCTGATGGGAGAACTGGTAACTATGCTGGCACTGCTTAGAGTCAGCAATGCACACTCGCTCATTTCTCATGTGCCTTCAGAGTTCAGGCTCATTTCAGAGAAACAGTAGATCAACAATATTGTGTTAATAATACATGTACATGTATGTGCATTGCCTTTTGCGTGCAGTGAAATGATGGAGAATGCCTTCATTGAACAGGCTACAGGTCTGCTCTCGATATAACAACTCTCACTTGTACATAAACCTCGCTAGTACTGTACTTGGACTTTGTCAAGGTGTGGTTCACACGGTACGGTTACGAAAAGTTATGGCATCTTTGGGAAAGGGCTAACATCCAGTGCATTCGCAGATTTGCGTGTTTCTCTCGCGACGGTCGCATATAATCATTAATTTTTTTTTTTTTTTTGGTGTCGATATAACAGCCTCTTTTACGGGCAACAAAACACAATTTGCCAATCATTAATAATGGTACATGGTGTGTTTATGATCATCATTGTTTCTACTGTAGTGGCCTGCACATGGACATGTACAGTATCTATAGGCCTTATGCACATTGTACAGATGCACGAAATCCCGTATAATCTTGTAGAATCCCGTAGACCCGGTTGGGTGTTGAATGTGCAGGACCCTATTGTCTTTACTGCTATTTCCACTATGAAATGGGCAATGAAGGCATTTCATACGAAATCTTTTTCCGGCAGAGATCTAGCTAGTTGTTAGTTCAATCCCAAAGTGAAGAAGGCTTGAAAAGTGATCGTTTGCCATGAATTGTGAGGCTAAATGGGTCAAACGCGCATGTATAGCACACAATGAACACCCAACCGGGTATGTACACACCTTCGGCCATAGTACAGAACTTCGTACATCTGTACAATGTGCATAAGGACTATTGTTGGGCAACGCGTTTCCTGGTCTGACACGCCTTACGTACCACGTAGCCTCATAGCCAGTCATGCCTCATGGTAGAGGAAGAGGGAAGCAATGTGTATGTTGGGGGGGGGGGACATGTGTGTATGTCGGAGGGGGGGGGGGGGGGGGTACGTGTGTGAATGTCGAGAGGGGGTACTTGTGTGTGTCGGGGGGGGGGGGGGGGGGGGATGGCTGGTTTATGTAATGCACGAAACCAGTCTCATGCGCACTGTGGCTGCCAGAAGTACTCTTGCGGATGTAACTAACTCTTTCTAGCTACTAGCTACTGGCCACCAAGAATACCAGTAGGCAGTACTTTCTATAAACTGGACATGGCTTCATGCTACCCTGTCATGTATGTAGTAAGTTTAAAAAAAAAGTAAAGTATCGTATCCGTTCCCGAAGGGAACTCATAACGGGGCCGCCGACTCCCGCTAAACCCTAGCTAGCACCTGCTAAACCCTAGCCAACACCCGGTAAACCGTCGCCGCAATGTAATGCAATGTACTGGAGCATTGATACAAATAAGAAGCACGGTCTCACTGATGATAGTAGCACAGGCTCTAATAGTATCGCCAAGAGTATAACCCCCCAAGAGTGTGCAACTCCCGATACCCTTTTTTAATATGGGGTACGCCGACGGCAAAAACTCACATCACGTGGTGCAGTGTGGCAGTTGTACGTTTCCAGCCCGTTTTTAGCGAGCAGCGGAGTAATAAAAAAGCACTCTCTGACAGAAACTCACGGCAGGTATGCAAATCCCCAGCATGATCATGGCAGATATTCGGATTGCGTGCACGCTATCCGTCTGTTTTCAGTACGAACGTATCTGAGACACTTGATGTGAGTTTCGCCGTCGGAGCTGAGACCCCATATGCAGAGTTGCACACTCTTGGGGGGTTATACTCTTGGTAGCACAGTGACTGAAACAATAGGAACCCCTGGGCTGCTGGGCTCTTATTAGAGAAAATAATTATGGTAGACCCTAATAGATGCCTCAACTCGCTCAAGGTCATCACAAACCCATAACCATTAACGGTTCTACAACTTCATTGCTTTGCTCCCCCCCCCCCACAAAAAAGTTTTGTTAAGATCTTTGGATCGCAACCAGACGTGTAGCAACGCAGTTGGAGGTGGTCCGGGCGGATGGGGGGTCCGAGGGTCTCCCGCGGGGACATTTGGAAGTAAGGGTACAAAATCCTGCATTCTGGGCACCTTCGTGTTAAAAAAAAGTGGTCCAGGCCAAAGCCGGACCGGCTGCTACGTCCCTGCCAACTAGAAGGCGCTGTGCAGAGTATCATGATGGGGCTATGGGTGCTTTCGATCACACAGTCACACGTTCCGAACCCAGGTTTCAAATGAACCGAATGAACGGATTGCGACCATGTAAACAAACGACTACACGAAAACATTGTAAAAGAGAACCACGTGGGATCCCGTACACCCTCGCGCATGCACGTGGACCTAGCACGGCGTGTACATGTACGTCGAGTGCGTAAATTCTGGCGAGAGAATTAGCAATTCCCTCTCTTCAAAATTGACAGAATTGGATTTCGTCGATTCTGACGACGGAATTTGTGTAATCGAACGGTGCATGCACCATAACGAATGATAATTATTCTAGAATTGACCGAAATGTGTGTAATCGAACGCGCCCAGTGATTGTAATGATCTGATGACTGTTCGACGTGGACCATGTACCATTAATCATTGCTCTGCTATTACCATGATTACCAGTGTTACGGCTGCACATCATGGTAGTACATCTGATACATAACATTATCATGCGAGCATGCATGAATGTAGGGTTACGAAATATTTTTTTAGACTTCGTGCATGCCATGCATGATGTGGATGATCTAATTTGGCACGCAAGCGAGTGGTACTGTCGGCAGTCTCTACCTGAATTCCGCCATTGGGCGTTTGCTGGGGCCGGGGCGAGCCTGGTGTTGTAGCCAAAGTTTGTGCCGACCTCCACGTCATGACGTCAGTGGCGAACCAACCACAGTTTACCGCACCCTGCATGCACGCCTCGCTGGTCTCAGTATTCAATACTTTCGGTCGTCACTCGTGGGTGGCTGAATTAGTGAATGCCTCTGCGGCGAGATGGTAGGTCTTTCCGCTCGCTCGCCTCGATCGCTTCTGCCCAATATTTTTCATCTTGGTGGAGAGGTCTTCTCCTTACGCTCCAGGTCTGCACAATACTCCATCAGTATAGAAATACCCAAAATTACCGGTAATAGCTTGATAAATATTACATAAGGGGCCGTCCGTAAATATCGATGTTTTTTTAGAGACGATATTGGTGCGTCTGGGGGGGAGGGGGTTTGAGCCATGTGCGTCTTTTCGAGCATCAGAAAAATATCGATGTAAATATCTGAAGTTTCGCCGATCCCTGCACGCGGACGTCTAAATGGCTATACAAGAAATGTGAAACCAGCTTCCGTTCGCGGAGCTAAAACTCGCGACACAAGAACAAAATCAAAAATTGGAAGCTGTACGCCCATGGCGAATTTCAAGAGCAAAAGAATGAGCTATTGATTGTGGAAATCGGCCGAACGATGCCTGCGGGAGACCTTTTTCAAGACGTAGAGGCAGTGCGAACAAACACGGACGAACTCCACAAGAGTTTCCAGTCTTCACTGTCTGAACAAGGATTTGAAAAAATTCAAGCCCGAGCGTAGCCGCTTTGGCTACACCAGTACACGATGGCTGAGCACTGCAGCGCCAACCCGGTTCGCTCCCCCCAGGCGATGCAGCGTGAGTGCGGCGGGATTTTCACGCCTACACCGGACCCTCAACATCCTGGGCACTTCATGAGCATCCAAAAATATTGATTCCATGATCTAGATGTACATGTGCGTCTTCTGGGGGGAGGGAGGGGGGTCAAGGGAGAGAAGCACCAATATCGTCTCTAAAAAAACATCGATATTTACGGACGGCCCCTAATAGAGTGTAGAAGTGTAGTGTTTGAGAGCACACCACGGATATACTCCTAATCCAAGACTGAAAACAGATAGAGTGACATGCATGCACGTCGAAAAGGTCTAGCCTGATAAAAGCAGTCTGACTGTACTCGAGGCATCGGGCAAGGCCAGCTGCTCAGAAGAGGCAGCCATTCAATGATTCAAGCCATTCAAACTACTTGAAAGGGGCAGTCGATCCCAGGCTTCGATCGAAAGCAGAAAAATCCATACAGAACAAAAAGGAGAAGTGCACTGCACGTACCCTAGTCCCTACTAAGAACACAACAAAGCTGACAGGATCGCTTTTCTGAACAATCGCAGTGTGCACGTGAGGGAGGCAAAAAGCGCCGAAAATGCTTGACGCCTTGCCAGCGCCGTCCAACTCTCACGTGTTTCACGGACTCTGCACTGCGCACTGCGCTCCATGTGTTGTGCTACATCAGACTGGTGCACTGATGATGCGGGTTGTTTGTTGGCCGGGGGTCCATCCCGTTTTTGAAGCATTCTGCCTGCTACACGGTAGATTTACCCTGATATGACCTTGCCTGTCGACATGTCCCTCCTGATATGAAACGAAACGAGAATGACTGTGTCGCTGAGAGCTAGTGCTACGATTTTTATCTGATCCTTTCTTCGAGTGAAAGACAAAGCTGCAGTGAGTGGCAGTCAGGCGGCAGTACTTGTAGTGCTGACCATTCGCGCACAATCTTGTTCTGTCCTCTCCCGGAAAGACCGCGCGCGTGGCCTCACTGCTCACTACTGCAGCTCAGCTGTTTTATTGCGAACTGAGCAGGTCGTGTAGCGAGTGTGCAGACTCAGCGATCAGCTGCTGCTGCGTGGTGAGTGGACGGACGGCATGCGACAGGTACCTCACTCAGTCGAGCGCTGAAGCTGCAAAAAGGTAGTCGTGAAATCGTCATATCCTGCTGAGTGCTGTGAGGAAGGAACAGGATTTTACTTAGTTTGGGCACCTGATTTAGTAGTACTAGTAGTATAGTTGACTGCGCCCTGATTTCAGCGTCGTGTAAATACCGCTCTGCTGACGGTTCGGCGTTGTGGCCGTCACTTGGGTGAGTTGAACTAACTCAGTTGAAGTCGAATCACTGCGCTCCACGGATTGAGCATGGAGACTAGGTACGGTGAAGATCGCCCAGGTCCCTCGTCGTCCTCCGACTCTGTTTCTCCGCTCAGCAGGCGCAAAGGACCTCTGGCACCTGTGTTGTTGCCTGGCAGTCAGCGGAACCCCCGCTATCGCGCTGGCGCACTTGGCAACAGTCTGCCGCCATTGGACGAACCCCCAGCAGTGGAGCTGCGACTCCCGAGCATCACAAACAACACCGAGAAAACAACGCAGCCTCTACGTCCAGCACCCTTACGACCAGGTGTCAGCAGCGGCGATGCTAACGAAGGTCGATGCTCGCCACTAGCGGACGTGGATCGAATCGAGCGATGTCCGTCACCGCTGCTAACTCAGCGGAGAAAATCGCTCTCTCCGGCGAAACGTAGCGGCGGTGGCGGAGCGTCGTCGCGCCTTCAGCGCTCGCCGGAGCCCATACGACGCATCGCGAGTGCAGAGTCATCCAGCAACGATGACATCCCCTCGATCTACTTAGGCAGCGCCACTAGTACAAATGGGTCTGTGTCTTCATCCTCGTCCGCTGAGTATCTGAGTGAGTCGTACCCACACCAGACAACTAGCAGCATGTTTAGAGCGAGTAGAAGTGGCTCAAGCTCCACATCGTCGCACATCACCAGCCTGCGAGACTTCTCCTCGCTGAGCCGTTCCCTACCGTCACTAACGGAGGAGGAATCGCCACGACGCACCTCGGCCCCGGCCATCCATTCGTCATCACTCCTCGGAGCACGCCTGCCACGCAGCGGCTCGTTCGAGAGCGAGCTATCGTCGCACCATGGCGACTCGCGTCTCGGCCGGCATCGTCACCATAGCAACCCGTCGGCGATGGCATCCAAGTCGCTGGCCGGCAGCATGGCAAGCCCGATGACGTCGCGGCGTCGGCCTCGGCAACCGTCGTCACCAACACCTCTCAGTGAGTATGGTGTCCTTTGCGCTGTATCGCGTTGCATTGTATTGTGTGTCGGGGGGGGGGGGGGGGGGGGGGGGGTCCAGTCGGCCCTCATCGTCCAGTTCACATGCTAGGTGAGTTGGCGATGGTAGATTGTAGATTGTCGGGTTTCCTTGCCGTGATGTGTGCCGCATCGTGCTCGTTTTTATTTTTCGAAAACGGTGGGGCACAAGTTATGTGTTAGAGCAGTGCTCAAGCTCACTGCCTAGCCGTGGAATGTCTCAGTACTCCTTGTCAGTCTGGTGCTACCCTGTGCACGTCTGACTGTTCAAAACCTGGTTTAGTTGGAGGACGCTAAGGGCCCGGTCACATATGCACTGGGGTTCTGCTTCGGCGGCGAGGTTCCGCGGCAGCGAGCCTGGTGTCGCTCCAGCGGAACCACGTGTGTATGGTCACACATACAAACAGGGCAAACTCCTCCTTCGGCTGAAAATGAGAGTAAAGTTGACTATGGTGCATACGGTACGGAGAATAGACGAGGTCAATGACCATCTTGCACATAGTTGTGTTGCATGGACATGATACGCATACAAATTTCTCGTAGCAAGTCCATATACAGCAGATCGTGGTGTTTTCCGCGGAAGCGAAACCGCAGAAGCGAGAGTTTCGCTCCCAAAATGTTGGAGGCAGTGGATTTGAATGTCCGTTGGAGCCATAGTTCTGCTTCTTGCAGTTGCCACGGTATTTTCCGCTCCTGCGGCGTCGCTTCATCGGATCCCCTACTTTTTGAGTGCATGTGTGACCGGGCCCTAACGCATAACTTGTGACCCACCGCTCGCCTTGTGTAACATATTTTCCTTTGGCTCACCATATCAGTTTGTGTAGATGTACTTTGTGTTTGCTGTGCGCACGTGGAACTCGAGCATACTAGTACTTACATTCATGGTACTTTCATGGGTGTATACTGTACAGGCAGAAAATTTCGTCGGTCAATAATTTCGTCCAACTCCAAAGAAAGGGATTTCGTCCGGTTGAAAATTTAGTCCATGGACTATAACAGTGTATTGAAACGCTGGACAAATCGACATTCGTCTGGCATTTAATTTAGTCCTAAAGCTCCTTGGACGAAAAAGACGAAATTAAATTCCAAATGAATATTTCTGCTTGTACAGTACATGCATTCATGGGCACACCCATGAATGCATGTACTGTACAAGTGCAGCAACAGTCACTGCTCTCAAACATGCACACAAACATATTCAAGCAACCACGGACGCATGGACACGCACACACACAGACGCTCTTGTGTGCACATACATACTCACACCTTCGCACGCACTCACGCACACGTACGCACACCACCACCACCACCACGTACGGCCGTCGCAAGAGAAGCATGCAAATCTGCAAATGCACTGGATGTGCACCCACAAATGTTCTCCTAGCGGACAAGATCTGAAATATACAGATCAAGACTAGTGCCTGATCATTGCCTTATCCACAAAACTGGCGAAACCACTGATGTGCGAATCGACCCTCAATGCACACCTGGTCTACACCATGCACACACACACACACCACGCCACATACACATGCGTGCGCATGAGCACACACACACACACATACGCACACACACACACACACACACACACACACACGCGCGCGCGCGCGCACACACACACACACACACACAGAATCAAAACTACACGACTGTAGTTTACTCAAGAGCCTTTTGCTGTTCACCCAGCAAGTGATTCACCGTGTTACACGCCATGTGCAGTGACTGGCCGGCAGTATGCATGTACATGTACCGCATTTCCCTGATTATAAGGCGCGCTCGATTATACGTCGCACCCCCATCTTCACGTTTGAGCCAACTTATTTCAGTATAATATTTGCAAAGAAGAGGGTGCCACACCCGATTGTTACTAGCACCCTCTTCTTTGCTTTTGAAGTGTAGTGTAAAAATGTGCAACTTATATTCTGTGAAATCCGGTATATGTGTGTGTGTGTGTGTGTGTGTGTGTGTGTGTGTGTGTGTGTGTGTGTGTGTGTGTGTGTGGTGTGTGTGTGTGTTTGTGCGTGCGTGCGCGCATATCTGTGCGTGTGTGTGTGTGTGTGTGTGCACGCATGTTGATATGTTGCTGTCTGCAGGTCTTGGAGACCTGTCACCAGACATGGCTGCAGGAATGCTCTACTCCAGGGAGTGTGCTACGTCCTCACGACGACGGAGCAAAACGGTAAGCCGGCTGTTGTATATGCAAGTTGTAATATATCTACTACACAGGTTGGCTACTGTATTGCGCATGCTCGGATTGGTCTGTTGTTGTTTTACCAGACCAAGAAGTAATCAGTCCTGGTGTTTGTCAGTGCCTGTCAGGATGTAAGATAATGTACAGTCAACTTTGCGTAGAACGACACTCGGCAGCGGGGCATCAGAATAGCGTCCTTAGTCGCGAAGTGTCCGTTAACCCGAAGTCTCATTATATGTATTACAGTTAAAACAATAGGAGGACAGAGGAAGTGTTTTTACTTTCTCTGTCCTCCTATTGTTTGAACCAGCTCTACCTCTCGTCTCGGTATTGAGCACTCTCTTGGACAGCCTGGAACCTCTCTGTTTTATATGTATTACAGTTAGATTGGACTTTGCTCTGGGCATGGACATTCTGTGGGTATTCGCGAATTGTCAATTACACCCGCAGTCATTAGTAGCCAAGTTCACTGTACCTGTATATCAGTGCGCAAGGGGATATCAGCATAACACCGCGCTGGGCAAATTCCGTGCGTTTTTCACTGTCTCCCTTCATGTTCCACATGTGGCGGGCACACCGGCTCTGTGCTCTTTCGCCAACACTGTCATGGGCGAAAAGGGGTCTTTCCCTGTGTGGCGAGCCGAATGGAATTAGTAGCTGTGAGTTCACCTTTATGGGCACATCAAGAGTACATGAAAACCAGAGTGTGCAGCTTGGGGCATTTTCCACTATGGGTGTCTGTCACGGCGGAATTCCGTGATTACATCATATTTGGCGCAGATTTGAGGCGGGAAGTGGCGTAGTGCGTACAACTGAGCTGCAGTTGTGCAGAAAGAGACCTGCTTGAATCCTGCTTGTACGCACTACATCACTAAAATGATGTAATCACGGAATTCCGCCGTGACAGCAACCCATCCGAGCTGCACACTCTGGTGTTCATGTACTCTTGGCGCACAGAGGTGACGTACAGTAAACACTGCTCTAACCGGACGCCCTTAGGGCAGCGCAGGCGGCTGTAGTATGACAGGATTCCGCTTGATCCGGGGATAACCATAACATCCACAGCACCTTGTTGCATGACATTTTTCCGGTCAGTACGAGGACCCCTGGAGGAATCGATGGTGGATGCTATTGCCGAAAATCACCCACCGGCAGATGCAACATCAGTCCTTTCCACCAGAACCAGTCCTACGTACTCCCTAGACGGCGGACCATTACAGGTTGTGTCCACCATTACACGTCTGCGTTTCCTGTTTGACTCAAGGCTAACGTTTCTGAATCATTTCAAATCTGTGCTCTCGATTATTCCGACAACGTGTGAATCTGTTATGTTATAATGTCAAGTCGTCTAACAACAAAAGCACTCATGATCTTATACAAAGGGTACGTGAGACCGATGGTGGAATATGCAGCAGCGTATGGTCGTTTCGTCTTACAGCAAAGCATACAGAAATGTACTGCAAAGGACCAGACCAGCTCTTTTAAACAGTACTTCTTCTGTCGATTTCTGATCTCGTTTGCCTCAAGTTATTTGCATGATCAACGAGAAGGCTTCCTGCTGGGAGTCCCAGTGGCAGGACTGAAACTGAGAAGATGATGTGTGAGATTGCAACACTAAACACGACTGATGACACAGCATGGGGCTGTGCTCCCAAACACAAGCAAAACAAAATGGACAAAGCAAATTCAATACAAACATGAACACGATAAACAACAGACGCACAGCAGGGACGCAAGAGATGGTACCTTATCTTGCGAGATGTGGGCTGCCGACGACACGGCAAGAGTGTGTGAGAGCCGTGCAAACCAGCAATGCAAGAACGCAGCAGAGCAACCGAAATCCTGCACTGGATGAAAACCATGAGAGAATGCTAGCTAATCAGTGGGATACTGCTGATGGCAATGCCAGTAAAACAGTACCGTCCTGCTACTTATGAATTAAACGTATACATA